TCAAAACCCAGGGCTTTTTTTGCAGCAGGAACTCCTTTGCATGTTAGGCCACACACCCCTAATGTAGCCAATCCTAATGAGTTTCTGATGTTGGGTGTGGCCTATTATGCTAATGAGTTCCTGCTGGGCGTGGCCAACTTGGGAGCCAGCCGGAACTCCGTTCCTGTGCGTTCCTGCCCAAAAATAGCCCTGACCTGGAGATTTGGGGGATGGGCTCTGGGGAGGGCGGGGTTTCGGGAGGGGAGGGACTTCAGCAAGGTACAACGCCATAGATTCTGCCCTCCAAAGCAGCCATTTTCTCCAGGGGAGCTGATCTCTGTCGTCTGGAGATCAGTTGTAACAGTGAGGTGCTGCCTACAGGCTGGCAACACTACAGCTCCAAGTTGGGAACTTCCTGGAGATCTGAGTGGAAGGAACTGGGGAGGGGCCTCCGCAGGGTGCGGCGCCATAGAGTCCACTGCCCAGAGCAGCCATTTTCTCCAGGGAAAAGTCAGCCACAAATGGATGTACAGCGTGTGCAAGTATGCAAACCACCGAGGGGGGGGGGAACCACACAACAACTCTGTGCACATAAAATATTAAACAACAAATTGTGTCCTTGAAATGAACTAGTATTTTCTTTGACAGTCCCTTTTTCACAGAAGTTATTGATCACTCCCTTTCGGTCTCTGGACACAGTTCAGTTCGGCTCTCCTGCTGGGTTCTCAAACAAGAAAGCAAGATACACGACTGCACAGTCAGAGTTAACTTTGAGAGCTTCTGGGGCTCCACCGGTGAGACAGCGGCCTGAAGAAGTCAGAAGAAACGGACGGCAACCTAGGCGATCCGTACCTGCTTTATCTGTGACTGTGTTCAGAGACCAAAACGGAGTGATCAATAACTTCTGTGAAAAAGAACCGTAAAAGAAAATACTAATTCATTTTGAGGACACAATTTGTTGTCTAATACTTTATGTGTACAGTGTTATTTTTCTCTCTCTCGGTTGTTTGCAATGATCCCTGTCATCTGAAGATCAACTGTGAAACTACACCACCAGCTCCACCTGAAGACTGACAACCCCCCCCCCCAAGCTTCCTCTCTTTGTTTCAAACAAGTGTGACACCAAGAAAACGTAGGAAGAAGAATATTCCCCCTCCAGCTTTCTTTCACAACACACAGGATTATTAGCTAGGAGAAGCTCTCTCTCTGACCAGCTCACCATTTTGATACTCTAACAGGGGTTATTCAACAGGAAAGCTGTTTGAGCTAAGTATATCTATATGCTTCATTGACAGCCCACCTTTTCCTGCAATGGGAACCCAAACTGGTTTACATTGTTCCCCTCTCCTCCTATTTCTTTGTCACAACAACCTTGCGAGGTAGGTTAGGCTAAGGTCACGCAGGAAGGTACCACAGCAGAATGATGATTCGAACCTGGGTACCCCGGATTCTAGCCCAACACGGTAATCAATGCCCCACAACGGCTGGCGGGAATCAGCAACAAAGTCCCAGACTCAGACCCCACAAAGGGGCAAACACGCAAACTGGCGGTCCCCAAGCACAATGGATACCTTTGGGGGAACAAGGGTCTCTCTGGGATCCGGGCCAAACAGTCCATCTTTGCCGGGGGACGCAGTGATGGCCGCTAGCCTAGATAGCTTTAGAAGGGGATTCGACAGATTCATGGAGGAGAGGTCCATCAGTGGCTATTATCCATGGTAACTAAAGGAAACCTCCTCGTTTAGAGGCAGTCCGCATCGGGGGAAGGCCTTGGCCTCCATGACCTGTTTTGTTGGCCCTCCAGGGCAACTGGCTGGCCACCGTATGAAACATGATGACGGGCCACTGGACTAACCCAGCAGGTTCTACTTATGTTTGACTTTACCTGTTCCAGAGGGTCAGGTTAGACCAAAGTGGCCAGAGGGTGAGACAGATAAGTTTAGGGAGGGTATTTATCCTTGTGACTCAGGGCCCTGCACAGAGTGTTCTTCCAGACTGGCACCAGCCAAACCTGCTCTGCTTCAGCAAAGTTGCTGTATCATGTACCTTCAGAAGTTCAGACCATGTGGTGTGATCCTGAATGGTTACACAGGAGAAGGAACATCTGAAGAAGATGAACCTCGTAATTCAGGGACAGAAGGAGATGCTTAGCCTCTTTTTGACTTTGACCACCATAGGTCAGTGGTAAGAGAATGAGCTACGGATCAGGAAATCTTTTGAGGCCGAATAAGCCTGCAGCTTTTACTTTACAGATGGACGGAGGTGCATAACCTTTGCTCTAACTGTGCCCGGAGGCTGCGGTGGGTAGGTGTACAATCTGAAGGCACAGACAGGCAAACCACTTACCAAAATCCATGCGGTCCTTGTGATTTCTTTGCAGGAGTCCGAGCAGCAGCTGTCTCAAGTGGCTGGATGTCTCTCTAGGGATGCTTTAAAAACAAAGGGGGGGGGGAGGAGAGATAGAAATTCAGCATCGTGTTATACTTGTGTATTGACTTTCTGGACTGGGAAGCACAAGCAGACCCAATGTCCTCCTGAGAAAAGCTCAACACAAGAGAAGTTACGCCCTGATCTGCTTTTGACAAAATCCAGAAGGGCAGACATAAGAACATAAGAGAAGCCAATGTTGGATCAGGCCAAAGGCCCATCCAGTCCAACACTCTGTGTCACACAGTGGCCAAAAATACCAGGTGCCATCAGGAGGTCCACCAGTGGGGCCAGGACACTAGATGCCCTCCCACTGTTGACCCCCCCCCAAGCACCAAGAACACAGAGCATCACCTGCCCCCAGTCACGTCAGTCTGTTACAGCAGGGGTCCCCAGCCTTTCCGAATAGTGAGAAATTGGTGCCATTACAAAATGGCGGCCGCGGGGAATGAGCCAATCACAAAATGGTTGCTGGGGTGGAATTAGCACATCACTTTGGGGGAAAGATGTGCTGTGTTACCCTGCCCTGGATAGCCTAGGCAAGCCATCTCGTCAGAAGCTAAGCAGGGTCGACTCTGGCAAGTATTTGGATGGGAGACCTCTTTGGAATACCAGCAGTCAGGAGGTGGGGGCAGGCTTCATACTGCCACCTCTCTGAACATCCTCCAGGCCCCCAGTAGGGGTCAGTCACCAGAGGTCGCCATGACTTCCAGGTACACACACAAATATGCGGACACACGCACGCACAGATGAATCTCTAGTTTATAAAAGCTGATGCCGCAATGTACATCTGCTGGCCTTTAAGATGCCACAAGAGGTTGTTTTCAGACAAAACAGCATTTTTAGCTCTTGCCAGAGGCAGCCCCGCTAGGAGTTCACATTTCTCATGGGCAACAAGCTGGCTTTATGTCATTCTTGTCTCCTTTTATCCTCACAACAACCACCCTGTGAGGTAAGTTAGGCTGAGAGCATGTGACAGACTCAAGGTCACCCAGCAAGCTTCTGTGACAGAGTGGGGATTCGAACCTGGATCTCCCAGATCCTAGTCCAACATTCCAACCACTGCACCCATTCATAGGCGGTCTGACTCCATAATGGGATGTGTGGTGCCATCTAGCAGGATAAGCATTGCATTCATGGGGTATGAGCACTTGGCAAGGCATGGCATAGAAGATCCAAAAGGAGATGGAACATTACATGCAGGCTACCTGTGTCTGTTTTAGCAGCCCCACTAGCCCAGCTTAGCCCAATCTTGTCAGGGCTTGGAAGCTAAGCAGGCTCAGTACTTGGATGAGAGACCACCAAGGTAGACTCTGCAGAGGAAGGCAAGCACTGGCAAACCACCTCTGCTCATCTCTTGCCTTGAAAACCCCATGGAGTTCCACTTAATGTGATTCTACAGCACACTTTACCATATCTACCTGTGTCTCTTATGATGTAAAAGCTCCCTCCCCCATTCATTATAAGTGATACTGTGTGGCTACTTGGGGACAGATAGAATTGCTTCAGAGGCCTGCCTTGGCCTGGATTCCATCAGTTGGACTTGTCTGCTGTGTGTATATCAGGAGCTCAAGGCTGTAGGGCAGAGCTGGATCAATAACAAGAAGGTTGTATGAATGTGAAGGCCAGGGCAGAATCAGAAGCAAGGCAGCTTTGTAGCGAAAAGACTGGAAATGCACAAGCATTGGTGGCAATGAGGAGGAAAGGCAGCATGGTTATAACCCAATCTCATCAGATCCTGGAAGTTAAGCAGAAGGCGGCAATGGCAAGCCACCTCTGCTTCTCATTTGCTTTGAAAGCCCCTTGCTGGGGTCACTAGAAATCGGCCGCAACTGGATGGCACACCAGTTCGGCCCAGCCTTCTTGCCGACATTTAAGTTCTACATGCATGAGCATTTCTCACTTCCTAAATCCTGCACTCTGAAGCGGCTATAGGAAAACAGGAACGGCCAAACAGAAAGAACTCCCCCGCCACCTGGAGTCATATACCCAGTCCACAGTAAGGACGTGCCTGGAAGACAGAGAAGGGGAAAATCCACATGCTGGCAGAGCCAGTAGATATTTCTGCCCAGGCAAATCCAGGCCCTTGGTATTTGCTCTGTACACACAGCACGGTCACTGCCTGCCTGCCCGACTTCTCCACTTCTGTTCAGCGGGGTCAGGAGAGGTAAAAGGGCAGTCACCCTATGCCAACTTTAAAGCTCACATGTCCCACTCAGACAGGCAGGATTCCGTCTCACGCAGGCCTGACCGCCTTCCCCACTTTACTCAGAAATGTAGACGTAAACAGCTATTTGCCAAGAGTCGATATTTGTGCCGTAGTTTCAGCTTTTGTCTTTTTCTCCCAGGGAGCCCTCCGGCTAAGGACATAGGAGCAGGATGGGGGGGGAAGACCTCACACAAGTAAAGTGGAGACTTTCCAAGACTTCCTTTTCAGAGCCGGCCAGCGGCTGCTGCACCCGGCTGCTCTTTGGAGACTTTTAAAACTCTCTTGTTAGGAGTCCCCCACACACAGACACCAAGAAATCTGCAAGCCTCTCACAAGCAGTTCCTAGAAAACGGCAAGCAGCTGCGAGCGAGATGCCTTTGCCTGAGAGGTGGATCCAAAAAGGAAGTTTGCCAACCGGGATTCACGTGAGAGGCAGCGTTGCCGACACGTGGAATGTTAGAAGAGGAAGCGTTGGGCGATTTTTTTACACTGCACGCTCTCCATGGGAGACGCAGCAGCCGGCAATTCAGAAGATAAACATGGCCTTAATGGATCCCAACGGTATTCCAGGTAGCCCCACACACTTGCGCTGGATACTCACAAACCGGGGTGGAAGGTTTCTCCCTGCTACAGCTTTGGACAATGGACTACCTCGCAAAATGGCAAACTGCTTCTCTGCAAAGAAAGCTGCAATGGGATGGGGGGGCAGCAGCTCTTCATTCTTCCCCCTACTCAAAAGGAGGTAGGGTGGGTCAGCAATCTTTCCTGTTCAGCTGTGAAGGACAGGAGCCCTCAGAAACCCAAAACCACCATCGAAAGACTCCAAATCCATATAAAGGAGTGAACGTCGGTCCCAAGGGTACCACTATCCAACATGGGGAAATCTAGTAGCATACGTACACACCTGAAGAAGCCTTAAGCTTTATACACTATATTTATTTTGATATTTATACCCTGCTTTTCACCCCAGCGGGGGACCCATTATGGCTCACGACATCATTCTCTCCTTCATCATTTTTATCTTTGCAACGATCACCCTGTGAGGCAGGTCAAACTGAGAGGTCACCCAAGGTCACTCAGTGAGCTTCCATGGCACACACCTGAACAGGCTTTATACTGAACCAGATCTTGGTCTGTCAAAGTCGGTATTGTCTACTCAGACTGGCAGCAGCTCTCCAGGGTCTTTCATGCTGCCCACTACCTAGTCCTTTTAACTGAAGATGAAGAAGAAGATTGGATCTATACCCCGCCCTTCACTCGGAGTCTCAGAGTGGCTTACTAAACTCCTTTCCCTTCCCCTCCCCACAACAGACACCCTGTGAGAGAGAGCTCTGACAGAACTATGGCTTTTCCAAGGTCTGAGAGCTCTGAGAGAGGGCTGAGAGAGCTCTGACAGAACTATGGCTTTTCCAAGGTCATCCAGCAGCTGCAGGTGGAGGAGTGGGGAATCAAACCCAGTCCTCCCAGATTAGAGTCCAACGCACTTAACCACTTCACCAAACTGGCTCTGGGGATTGAACCTGGAAGATGCCGGGGATTGAACCTGGAACCTCCTGCAAGGCAAGCAGATGCTCTTCCACTGAGCCAATGCCCCTTCCCAGAATGGAGATTCGAACCTCAGTCTCTCAGATCCTATCCTGGTATTCTAACCACTCCACCATGCTGGCTCTCATATCCTTTATCATAGCCATAAGGAAATGGGCTCTCAGTCACAGCTCAGATTTGAATATCTCAGTGCACAGAACATAAATAGCCATGTTCAAGTTTTTTCCCCCTCCTTGCATGACACACAGCTTAAATGGGAGGGCCCGTGACCCTTCTGGGATCACACGGCGAACCCCACCAAAAGCTGATCACATGGTGACCCCACCAAGAGCTGATGCCATTCCCTCCCTCTACTGAAGTCTTCAAATTCTCAGTTCTCCAACACTGTTTCCTCAGGCCTAGTCGCTTCGGCAGGAAAAACATACCGCCTGCACATTTGTTTGGGGGTGAGGAAGGCGTTCTGTTTCATGTCGGGTAATTAAAACAGCAAACCTATCCAAGCTCCCAGCCAAGGGCTTCCCCACCTCGGAATGGCATCCATCTCTGTCAGCAAAACAGTAGCTCCTAAAAAACACAGAACTTCACCGCTTTACTTAGGTGGGCAGAAGCTGTGTACAATAAGGAGGTGCCACTAAAGGAGGTGTCGCATACAATAAAGGGAAGTTGTGGACCGTAAGGGCGGGCACCACCAAAACAGCATCTCCCGTCTCAAATGCTCCCCCCACCAAAAAAAACATCAGCTGCTTCAGGTGGTGGGGAGCTCCCCCTCCCTGGCAGTCTTCAAGCAGTGGCTGGACAAACACTTGTCAGGGATGCTCTAGGCAGGGGTCATTTCGTAGAAAAAGAGCTAGGGGAACTCATTAGCATATCTCATTAGCATATGCCACGCCCCCTGACATCACCGGAAGTGTGTCATAAGGCCACACCCCCTGACATCACTGGAAGT